GTTGGCCCTTACACTTTGATGGCAAGCACATCGACAGAATGGATTCTCAAGTGATCATCCTTAAAAATGAATGAAGAGAAATCAAATTGGATGTCCTTGGCTTGGTAGATGGCAGGGCTTTAACTATTGCTGAAGGAATTTCTAAAGTCCTCGATGAATTTCACCTATGGAATTCAATACAGATGATTGATGCAGGTACCACCAGCGTTAACACTGGAAAAAAGAATGATATTGTTGTAATATTGCAATGAATGTTCACAGAGAAACGCATCAACAAACCTCTGTTTATCAGTTGTCAACACCATGTATTAGATAAAATCCTCTGTTTGGTGATGAGTGAAGAACTTGGAAGTAAAACATAAACATCAAATATCCATTTGTATCTCAACTGTTGAAGGAGTACGAACAACTGAAAACACAGTTTGATAAGGGAACAGAAGTAATTCTCGAAACATCAGGTTGGAGAGATGATATGAAATTTTTGTTTTATCTCACTCTAGTGTTCCGATTTTTTGAGGAAAAGGTACATTTTCCATTGATCAGGTTTCATAAAATACCCAAAATCAGCAATGTGAAGTGGAACTCTAGGGCTATACTAGCGATCTTGGCCTTCATATTAATTCCTTCAACAAGAACAGTACTGCATGTCAATTTATACCATATGGGCAGACCATTGGTTTACAGACCAACTGTACAACAAAAATGACTTTAATATCTTGGCTTAAATACTAAATCCATACAAAAAGGCTTTAAGCTCACTGGAAGCAAGAGCCATCCATACTACAGTTACCCAGAAGTAATCAATGCGCAGAGCGTGCAATCAAAGTAATGGAGGAAATTTATTCATCATGCAAAAATAAAGACAAATTGCACCTTTGATTCCTTCTGTGCAACAAGCAAAGGCGAAGGTCAATGGTCTGAGTCAATGTTGGATTGAAAATTTATTGTATTACATGACGATGACATTTTAAATACATTTGAATACATAGTAGTACTTATGTCAAAATCAATTTTTCAATGGCGGGGTGAAATTTTTTGAAAAGATATGCAAATAATAGTTGATTGCGTGCTTTTTAGGTAAAAGTTCATCAAACTACAGTAAAGGAGCATGGTGTTGATAAAAAATGATAACCCTAATATATATATATATATATATATATATATATATATATATATATATATATATATATATATATATATATATATATATATATATAAAGAGAGAGATAAATAGATATATAGATAAACATAGATAATAAATATATAGATAAATATATATGTTATACTGCCGAGTTAGGTGAGCATGATGACATCATACTGAAATAGCCTGCTGCAGGGGCTTCAGTACATACATCGACTGACAAATAGCCTGACTTGCAGTGGAGTGCTGCTACATCGACTGAGGGTTTGGTATGGGTCAGCAACCTTTTCATTCATTATTCTTCATTTTCCCTCATCGTTTTCTCAAAACACTCAATTTAGACTAGCAAAAAAAGTGAGCAAAAAAATTGAGCGCATATAAATATGCTATAGTAGAACAACAAGGCTGCAAGCAACCACTATTAGAGTTGGAAGTTACTGGAAGAGAAAATATGAAGTTTATAGAGCAAGATATCGATTGACGGACGACGAAGAAAACGAATTATATGAATCAGGAAAGGAGGATGAAGAAACCAAATTCCAAAGAAATGATGTTCGAGGAAAAAAACTAGGCAAATAATAGTTTTGGAGCACTTAAGAACAGTCACAGAAAAAGTATGAGACATAATTGAATGACAAATAACACAAGAATGAACTTTGAGATATATACGGAAAAAGATAAGCTAGCTCTTTAGTGCAGCGCCAATAATAGTATTTATAGAAACTAGCAGTAAGCAACCCGTAATACGCGTTGTTAGTAAATAAAATTAAAAAAAAAAACGCGTATAGAAAAGCCTAGAAACTACTTTAAAATAGAAAAGCCTAGGAAATGACGTAACTCAACTAATAATAATATTAAATTAGCGTATTCATATTATCAGAAGAGAAAGAGAAGCAACATTATGACAATAATTGAAGGTTGGCTGCAAGAGCAGGTCAAACTATGTTTACAATGCATTTTTGCACCTAGTCTAAAAGAGAAAGAGCATTATTGGAAGATCTGCCCAGATATGGCAACAACCGTGAGGAACTCTTAAGTTACAAGATATGAAGAAGAGTGCTGTCCATCGAGGACAATTTTTATACTACGATTGGAAAGAAAGAGTTCAATAATCTTAAAGATGTTACCTGATACTCTGTAGGAAGAAAGCTTATAGAGGAGACCAGCATGTCAAACTTTATCAAAAGTTTTAGAAATGTCAAGAGCAATAGCCTTAACCTCTCCACCTCTATCTACCTCACAATAAAACCTATCAGTTATTACTGTTAACAAATCAGCAGTAGAACAAGAAGATCGAAATCGATATTGATGATCGGAAGGTAAGTTATTAGATTCAAAATAAGAGATTAAGTCTTTTTATATATGAATGCCAAGCAATCAATCAACCTGTTTGTCAGCTTTATCAGGTAGAACGCAACTAGCGGAATCAAGAGATGATATTGATGAAAAGTTCTTAGCAAACAATTCAGCTTTATCTTTAGGTGAGGTGACAAAATCTGAACCATACAAGAGAGGTAAAATAACAGATTTGATTATTGATTATTGATACTGTTAAAGATTCTCTAGAAGACACAAAATTTTTGTGATGAAATACGAGATTTCATCACCTAAGAATTGCGGGTTTTGGCATTAAACAAAACATTTTTACAATGGTTTCTAGAAATAGTATAAAGACGTCTGTTTTCCGGAGAATTATTTTGCTTAAACCATGGAGGCTTGACCTGGAATTGTCAAGAGGGAATAAAAGATTCCATGCCAGCCTGAAACCACGAAGTTATGTAAGAATCACATTTGTCAGCAGGAAGACAAAAGATTTCTACCCTAGGGCCATCACAAAGAAAATAACGGAAAGAGTCCCATCAGCTTTAAGGTAGTTGTAAGAGCTACAATGATAGGGGGATTCTGATGATGGTAGTTTTAGAGAGATCAAACCATGATTAGAAGCATCTAAGGGTGAATGTGGAGAAACTGAGCACCGACTAGGATCAGAAACACGACATAAGTCGTATATAGAAGGTGAATGATTTGGGTTGTTAGGAAAGCGAGTTGGAAAGTTGACTATTGGAGTTAGAGATTGAGAAAGCAAAAGTTGTGGCTTAATTCCTGCAATCACTGACACTAGAAGAAAATGCTGGATTCTATTCTTCTGACATAAAAGTTAAAAAGAAAAGACAAATTTGAGCCAAAATTACTTGTTTGGATTGCATTCTTGATAAAAGAAATCTATCAGCAGTAAATTGCTCCGTCAGGCCAATCAGTCTATGAAGATGTGTATATTTCAAACTGTTAGATTAGAGAAATTCATTAAAAAACATAATTATTTTTAATTGTCATTTTTGACAATATTGTATTTTGGCCTGATCTATCTTCGTCACATTATTCGTCTAAAGTGCAAGGTTATCTAAAAGTAGACACTTCGTCGTCATGGCATGAAAAACTTATAATTTTTAAAAATTTTATTAGATATTTTTTTTTTTTAATACTTTTTAAATTATTAAAATTGATCATTCTGTTAAAAAGTTATAAATTTATAATTTTGTCCAGATTTTTAGTTATCACGTGTTACAATTCATTACAACTCATTTTAAATGCATTTTTACAAAACAATCAGAATATATTGCAAAAAAGAAACTAATATATATATATATATATATATATATAGATATTTAAATAGCTTCTTTTTATTGGGTGAGAGAAATTTTTTGAATGAGAAGTTTTCGAAATTGATAAAGTTAACTTTAATTTTATTATTATATTATTAACGATATCAGACAGCATGTTATTCCAAATATTAAAAAACCTGTGTAAAAAAGAATATTTACGGACATTGAGTTTACACATTAGTTTGTGTTACTTGAACTTGTAATCTTAAGTGTAAATACAGTTGTTTATTAAAAAGAAACTATATTTAGCTTGCTATATTTAGGCAAACCTAATTAGCCCAAATTAACCAGCGTTATTTTGTAAAAACAATTCAACATTAGAGATTTCATAATCTTTTATTCCAACTTTTTAAAATGGTCAATTTTGTCCAGATTTTTAGTTATCACGTGTTACAATTTATTGCAAAGTAAGCATTTGCTGAAGAAATTTTGCTAAAGAACATTTGCAATTTTATCACCATTCTTATACCTCAAATACAAATCTTATTCATCGTTTGGAATGTCATTTTTGGGCTAGTTTATCTAATGAGGCCATCTCTCTTATAGACAAACAACAAAAAGATATTGTAATGTTGTTGGATTTGCTCTAGCTGCTGAGGTTAAGCTTCTGTCCAACTGTCATAAGGTTGCATCACCTCCCCTTTTCTAAAAATAATACCTTGATCACAAACTCAAGCAAGCTAGCATCTCTTGTTCCATTACTTGCTGTTTAATTAGACCGCATCATTTTACTGTAGCTGTTCCTTCATGCTTAAAAGTTTTATCAAGTTTATATTTCTGCAAACATTACTTATTTTCTCATTTTCCTTGCACATACAATTTTAACTTTTTATAAGTTTTTGTCATCAATTGCTTGAATATTCTTTAGCTCACTAATTAAGTTTGAGTTAACCTTGTTGGTTAACTCAAAACTTAATTAGTGGTTGATTGCAGTCTAGTTGGGTGTTAATTTGTATTTTATGACTCCTAGACACCAAACACCAAAAACAAACCTGGAGTCTTTTTTAGGACTCCACATTATTGTTTAAAATGATCAATCATGAAGTAAATGTTAAAAAAAAGTTAACTTAAAGAAATAAATATATTACATGAATTGCAAATATATAATATATCATATCACTATATGTAAATTAATAAAAAAATTTATAAAATATGTAATATCATGAACAAAAATTTTGAGAAAATCTGCTAGAAACCTTTTTTACAACAGCTAGCTTTTCAGGTGCATGATCGAATAAAGTGTCAAAAGCATCTCGCTCTAAAAACAAACTTTTAAACATTACTTATAAAAACTAACTTTTATTTATTACTAATAAAAACTAACTTTTATATATTACTAATAAAAACCAACTTTTATATATTACTTATAAAATAAACTTTTATTCCTTTTTCTAAAAAAAATTAGAACCTTATTATTATTACTTAATCTATTTACTTCTCTTACAAAAACAAAAAAAAACCTTATGATTCTAATTTTCCTTACCTGTTCTTTGTTCTCGGTCACTAAAACAGAACAATTTTTTTTTAAATAACCATGTTTGTGACATATAAAAATAATACTAAATAAATAAAATACTTGTAGTTGCCTGTAATATCTTCATTCACAGTTTTACTTCGCAATATACCATCTCGCTTCTATGAAATAAAAATTATAATTTATATAATGCAAAGGGCTTCAGCACATACATTGACTATATTATAGCACATATTATATATATATATATATATATATATATATATATATATATATATATATATATATATATATACACACACACACACACACATATATATATATATATATATATATATATATATATATATATATATATATATATATATATATATATATATATATATATATAGTATTGGACAAAACATTTGCAACCAACATCGAACAATGCTAAAAAGTGTTCCTAATTTTATATGTCTTAAAAATGAAACGAACTATACTACCACAGCAAACAGTTCAGGAGTCTCAAGTCATAGCATGCCATGACATGAACAATCAGCTAACCGGTGACAGCACACAGGCAGAATTTTGTTGACAAGTGCCATTTTGCAGCGGACAAAACAAGTGCAACTTTTTTGGTTTGTTTCATTTTCTCAAGTCTGGTCTGTGTAAGTTTTTTAATAATTAAAGGAAGTTTCCAGAAGTTTCCAGAAGCATGCAGAAGCTTTCAGAAGTTTCCAGAAGAAGCATCAGGAAGCATCCAGAAGTATCCAGAAGTATCCAGAAACATTTAGAAGTACCCAGACGCATCCAGAAGCTTCCAGAAGCATCGAAAAGAAGTATCTAGAATCTTCCAGAACAGGTTTACACAGGTTCATTTTGCTATATAAGAGACATGTAAACCGACATGTAATTCAGTCAGTATATGGAAGCCAATCAGTCAGTATTATCAAGACAGTTTATCGAATAAGAGTTTTATTAAAGTGTTTAATTGAAGAACATCAATACAAGAAGTGAAATACAACAACTGTTTCATTACATCAATACAGTCCACATCCAACCAAGACGTTGTGTTCCACAGAGCATTATTGTATTATCACAAGGTAAAAGTAACACGGTAAGCCTTAAGAAAGATGATTATTTTTATTATTTTTATGACTTCAAGTGCAAAAATGGCTCCCGACAGTCTTGGATTGGAACTAAGAAAGAAAATTATTGGCGATTACATAAGTGGAATGTCACAAAAAAGTATTTGTGATAAATATTGCGTGAAAAAATGGACCGTATCAAGACTATGTTCTAAATATCGTTCTACGGGGAAGTTGGCAGCACCACTTCTAGAAAGGATTCTATGATCGTCAGATCTGTCAAGAAGGATCCCTGGATATCATCAGTCGAGATGCAAAAGCAATTAGAGCTGCCTGTATCGAACCGAACAATCAGACGACGTGCTGTTTACGCCAGATTGTTTTCTCAACGCCCAGATTGTGTTTTAAAAAACATTTATTTATTTTATTATTTAAATATTTTTAATGCAATTTTGCTGTTATTTGAAATAAAAAAGTTTAAAGCTTATCGCATTGTAAAATTATAGTTATGAAAACATAAGTGGAGGAGAAACTCATATTAAGAGTACTTTAAAAAAGTTAATGCTTTTATTTAAAAATATAAAATACTTTTAATTTAAAGTATCATTGAAAGTTGTATAAATTTTAAATCATTTCATTTTAATATTAATTATAGATTTTTTTATAAGTAAATAAAAAAAAAAAGTACAACTTTAAACAGCGATAACTTTAAAAGTGAAGACTTTAAACAGCAATCTCTTTAATAAACTTTATATAAGAATCGTTAAAGTTCATTCACTTTAAAAGTAGAAAGATTTTGTTGAGAAAAAAAAAAAACTAACTTTTTTGAAAGCCGTTTGAATTAAATAACTTTGATTTTTACTTATGTTTTTTTTATATTAATGAAACACATTTAAATAAAGTAACAAATCACTGCTTAAGATTTATTATAAAAATATTAATGAATAATATAATATATATTATATTTATATCAGCATGTATTTTTTATTTATATGTCTTTAAATAAAAAAAAAAATTATATTAATTTTTAAAATAAAGGATTTAATTATTTTTTCTTTTGTTTACGTTACTGCGAAGAATTGTTAAGAATAATTTTTTTTAACTTTTAAACAATTTTAAACGCATTTTTTAAACAATTCTTAGTTGTTTTATTATTTAAAAAAGGGTTTTGAATAAGATTATAAAAACATTAGTAAAGATTAATTATTCAAAGTTATTTATTCCAAACGTAATTTAGATAATCTTAGCATTATGGTTTATTATTTATTTTAGTTAAGTTTTAATTTTTATCTATTTTATTCAAGTTTTAGATATTTTTTATTGAAGTTTATTTTTTTTAACAAAGATTTATTTGCTTTTTTAATGATAAGTTTTTTTTTAAGTTGCTTCATAGTTAAAATAACTTTTTCAGTGCGTCTTTTAAAATGCATAAAAATTTTAAAAACATATTAATAGACCTGGTCATGTTTTAAAATCAAAAGTATTTGCGTGGTCATATTATGACGTGAAATAACACGCCTGCCTGGCCAAGCCTATATATATATATATATATATATATATATATATATATATATATATATATATATATATATATATATATATATATATATATATATATATATATATATATATACAGCGACGTATCCAGGCCGATTTTGATACCGGTATACCGGTATGGGCCCCCAAATTTCAGCCCAAACTCAATTTAAAACACTTTTATATTAGCATTTGTTACAATTACATAAATATCAACATTTGAAAAACGACTTTTAAAGTACATTATAAGTGTATTTTAAAAGTCGCATTTAAAATACATTATAAATGTATTTTAAAAGTAAAGTATTTTAAAACTTAAAATACATTATAAATGTATTTTAAGCCAACCAAAATGCTTAATTCGAATTCACTTTGATGAAATATAGAATATGTTGCAATTGGATTAAATGTAAAACGCACGTTTTGATTGGATTAAAATATGAAACGCTTAGCATTTTTAAATAACATTTTAAAATACATTAATATGAGTTTCTCCTCCGCTTACATTTTCATAACATAATTTTCGAAGCAATTAAACTAGATGAGTTTTAAACTTTTTCATTTCAAACAACAGTAAAAATTGTTTGTAAAATACTTTAAATAATAAAACGAATGAAAATTTTTAAAACATAAACTTAAAATAACATTTATTTAAATAATTAAAATAACATTTTAATATTCGCGCCAAAAAACTTTATTGGAATAGTAAGAGTAGAACTAGAAAAAAAAGTTATGAATTTTTGAATGAATTAAAATTTCAAATGAATTTACCTTGTTTTAAATACGCTATGTAATAAAGTTTATATCAAAGAGTCATACAAATATTGTTTATTAAATGTTATAATTATTGTTTGTTTATGAAATCATACTCTTTTTATTTCTAGTTGATAATATTTAATATTTGGAATTTAATTATTTAATAATTAGCATTAATTTATAAATAGTAAGTGTATGGAGCAAGTAAATGAAAAGTAGCGATTAGCGATAAATCATTATATATTATATACGAAGAATTGTATTTAAATTTGAGTAAAAAAAAAAAAAAAAAAAAAAAAAAAAAAAAAAAAAAAAAAAGTCCTCTAAGATAGGCAGAACTTTTAGACCGGTATGCCCAAATTAATTATACATACATATACAATATATATATATATATATATATATATATATATATATATATATATATATATATATATATATATTGTATATGTATGTATAATTAGTTTCAATGAATCTCTGTATTAAAGAATAAGCTGATTATTTTTAGTGAAATCTTTGAAGTATTATGGTAATATTTTAAAAGTATTTATTATACAAAACACATTTAGGATATGGGTGCAGACTTTTTTCAAATATTGTTAAGAAGCATTCTACTCTTTATTTGGTATGGTATTTTAAATAAACAAAATATGCTTGCTACTAATCTCAAATAAGGCTTTTTTAAAAAACATCTTCACCTGAGGCTGCAAGATACCACTATTAGAGTTAGAAGTTACTGGAAAAGACAACTAAGCGAATAAAACTTTTTAGAGTACTTAAGAACAGTCAAATTAAAAGGATGAGACTTAATTAAATGATGAGTAACACGATAATGAATTTTAGTAGATGGCACAAGAGACACTAGCTTTTTAGAGCAGTGCTCATTATAGTATTAGCTCATTATAGAAAAGAGAAAAAGAAGCAACATTACAATGATGTGACAATAGTTAAGTATTGGATGCAAGTGCAGGTCCAACTATGTCTACAATACGCTTTTGCACCTTGCCTAAAATAGGAATAAGAATATCATTCAAAGATCTGCGCAACAGTATTCCATACAAGGACGGATTTGAGATTTATAGAGATAAAGAATCTAATTCGGAAAAAAAAGGTGGTGAGCACAATAAAAAGATAACCTAAGCAGATGTTAATTTAGCAATGAATTTGAAATGTATATTATTTAATATATATGGATTTAATATATATAATATATAATTATATATACTATATATTTAATATATGGTTTAAAAAAATAATCAGAAGAGTTAATTCTAGAAGATGAAGGTAGATGACTCATCAAGTAGATGAAGATGATGGTAGATGACTCATCAAGTACATTACCATTAATAAATATAGGAAGATCTAAATTGCTGCGATAATGATTAGCTGAAAAAAATCAAGTTTTATCTGAGTTAACCAGCCACTGAGAACTATATGTTGTGGCTGAAGCAAGATCTTTTTCAAGTTCAAATGAAAATCCCCTAGAAATCAGGGTGTTGGTTTCTTATCAAGACAAAAATAAATGATTAGGGTGGTCCAAAAAAATTTTTTTTAAAGTGCACATTGGAACCTCCCATTCTTATCCATCTACTAAAAAGAAAATTTTGTAAAAATTTGAAGTGATTTAAAGCATTTTTAGAGGTTGCACAAATTATTCAAAGTTTCTGATAACATAGTAAAAAGCAACCTTTTGTTATACTTAAGTATTTCACATGAATATCAACAGCAAATAATTTATTATTGTTCAACAGTTGCAACTGTACCAATGCACTTACTAAATAACAACAAGAGTAAGACTGACA